AAAATTATGAAAGATTATTGACAAGCGAATACAATTTCTTTTTGGGTGGTTTGATTTTATTGACTTATTCTATTTCAAAAGGGATCAAAACTATAAAGGTTATTCTTGGTTTGATCACAAACAGAATTCCAGTACAGGTGGACTACACGCTGTTAATTTTAATCCCAGGTCTGTTTCTGATTACCGTTACCGCCCGTCACCGGAACGGCCAATTCTGACGTTGTCGTCGCGACGGCGACGGTATGCAAATGGAGATCGTAAAGGTCCGCTTGAATCGAATAAATCCATTAGTTACCAGGGATGTAACGCAATGTAACCCATAGGACGGTCGGACAAAAACGAATGTCGACATCGTCAATTTCTTTTGCCCTGTTTTCAATTCTCTGTACGATTCTAGGTACATAAGGTAAGCTAATTGCTCCAAAAAATTTATCGTAGATTTTTAATTTTTAGTTCGTCCACCAACCAACACAACAAGAGGAAGCAAACTTTTGTTAGCTGGTGTTTTAAAAATACATAAAACCTAAACGAACAAACGTGTGTACTAAGTAATGGTAATGTAAAACAGAACAGAATTTTTGCTGACTGCTTCGGCATAATAGGAGCACACTTCAGAATGCAGACGCTGTCATAATGAGGTGTTGCTATTGCAGAGGCCACTTTATTTATCGATCAGAATTGATTGATAAGCATCAGCAAACAAAAGACTTTTTCTTTTTCACTGACACACATAGATTCATAATTTTTGTGAAGTAAAATACAGTGGATTTCGGGTATAACGACAACGAAGGGACCACTGCAATTTCGTCGTTATATCCAGAAGTCGTTATAGGCAAAGTTAAAGAAGATACTGACACACACAGTTTTTCAGTTTTGAAACAATTTTCGCCTTTTTGAAGTGAAATTTCGCACGCTAGGGTAAGTTCGTTTCATGCGAGTTGCTATGTAACGAAATCATTCAACGCATTTCTCCCGCTGCCTGTCCCTATGTATGCTTAGATCTTTAAAACTACGCAACGGATTTTAATGCGTTTTTTTTTTAAAGATAGAGTGATTCAAGAGGAAGGTTTATATGTATAATACATGCATAATATAGTAAAGAAACACTGATAATTTTAGAGGTTTGTAATGTGATGTCGTAAATAAACACATTTTTTTGCGCTTACATTGCAAACGCCGGCTGAACCCTACGAGATAGATCAAAATAATGTACTACAGTAATGTACACCTTAAAGGTCTACCAAAAAATCCGCGATGGTATAAGTCTATCTCTTAGGGATAACCCACAATAACCATTTTTATCCTTTACTTTTTACGAGAAATAATAGTTTATTTACGAAGCGATTTTAAGCAATACAGCATTAATCCTTATCCAATTAAGTACTTTTAAATACATTGTACATTTAATATAGATCAATATGGCCCTTTACAGCATGTAATTTATTTAAATGAATATTTTCGAAGATATTACAGACTTAAAATTCAAGGACATAGCGGTTGCGGCGGTACCGGCCGGTTTGTATTGTCTAATGACAAAAAATCTGTGATTGTTGTATATAAAGACATTCTATAGTATATTTACTATCAGCATTGCACCCGTGCGAAGCATAGTGTACAGATAATACCATTAAACCAATTCCTTAATCCCTATCCCGGTATGTTTGTGTGTTTGCAGAAGTTTCACTTCAGTAGCGTGTTGTATAATTACACGTTGTATTTTTTTTAACAGTAAATGTACATCTGGATGTCACACTTATTAAAAAGTTTACTAAACACAGTTGCTACTAAAAAACAACGGTAAAGGTCACCAAACTTGTTAAATATCTGTGTGAATGTAAACAAAAGACAAGAAAGCTCTTTGTGTCTATAGCGGCCGACTCCGGTCGCTATATCTGCATGGGATTACTAGGGATTTGTTATAAATGATTCATTAGAAACAGTCGTTACACCCGAACTCGGCGTTACATCCGAAGTCGCTATAGCCACATGAATTTTGTACTAAAGTGTACTTTAAATTCAACGGACTTACATATGACGTCGCTATAGCACATGGTCGCTATAACCAAGGTCGTAATAAAGGAAATCCACTGTATTTCTAGCAATAAATGAAGTAAAAACGAAGCTTATTACGTATTAAAGAATTCAGAACTAATAAATTTCATTTTTATAACATTCTATCTTTTATTTAATTCCGTATATTTAACTTTATCGACTTTCCCTCGGGTCGCCACTGTCATTACTAACCACCATTATCATTACGTAGGAACAACTCTCTTTTCAACTGTTAAGCGCTTGGAAAAATCAACATTCAGATTTCATTACTCTGTGCAAAGAACAGAAGATAAGCAAACTTATCACTTATAACTTGATGTTTCGTGCTGTGCATATTTAAAGAAAAATTGTTATCCAATATAAAATGTGCTTTATGAAGTAAGTATAATTGGAATTTCCTGCTTAAAACAATATGAAAACCATTACCACTAATGCCACATTCATTTCATTATTTATCCTTTGTGAGTTCCTGATAATTTTAAAACCACTAAAGTTAAAGTAAAATGCCCTATCTTCTACTTTAAATCCCTACTACTCCTTCCGTCCTGACTTATCTGACTTTCTAGTTACCTAAAATCAGCCACTTCATCTAATTTTTCGTCTCCTATCTTTACATTCGCTCTTTCCCTACTTTTTCTTCCCTTACACACCAGTATTTTTGTTTCACTTTTAGTTATTTGCATACAGTACTCTTTCAATACCGCTTCAATTTTATTTAGAGATATCTCTAATTCCGTCTTGCTAGATGCTAATACTGCTACAACATCTGCAAATTTAAGCATACTAATCTTTTTCCCCTGTGTATCTATCCCTACTTCGATGTATAAGATTAAAAAGTAGCGGTGACAGTGTGCATCCCTGTCAGACTCCCTTCCTAATATTTACTTCTCTACGTTGCAGCCCCAGCTCTATAATTGCCTGTTGCTCTTTATAAGTATCACTCTTCTATCTTTGTAACTCATCCCTACATTTTTAAGTATATTTAACATCTTGTCCCATTTGACATTGTCAAAATCTTTTTCTAAATGTACAAATCCTATGTACGCCCTCTTTCTTTTTTCCTATCGTTTTCTCTATTGTTACCCGTAAAGCTAGAATGGCCTCCCGCATTCCTCTATTTCTTCTAAACCCAAATTGATCTTCCCCTAATAGTTCTTCCTCTCTTGTTTCCTTCCTCCTCTGTACAATTCTAGTTAAGATTTTTGACGCACGGGAAGTTAAGCTAATTGTTCGAAATGTCTCGCACCTATCCGCGCCCCTCTTCTTAGTGCTAATGCTTAATGCTACTACTACGTTCCGTTTATAATCCTCTGGGACTTTCCCCGTTTCGTAAATGTGTCTAACTTAAACATACGATCTCTAACCTCTTGTCCTGCATGTTTTAGAATTTCCCCCTGTATCCCATCTACACCTGGCGCCTTATTATTCTTTAAATTTTTTAATGCTTCATCGAACTCTTCTTGCATTATGGTATAACCTAGGTCACCAATCTCCACACTATCTTCCTTATCTAATATATCTCCTAACTCATGCCCTGCGTTTAGGTTCTCTAAATATTCTTTCCACCTATCTGATGCCTTTTCCTCATTTTCTATCAAAATGACCCCTGCCTCGTTTCTTATATTATTACTACTGTACCCTACATCTCCAGCTTCAGGCTAATGCCTACTATATCTAATTCTAATCTATTCATCTTAACATTCAAATACTGTGTAGGGTCGCAAAATGAATTCTGTCTCTGTTTTGTTGGACTTAATTCATCTTATTGCTAAAAAAATTAAAAAATACAATTAATTTAATAATTTCTGGAGATGTCGTCGAATCTCTCAACAACGTTACTGTAGGTATAAGACAAAAACAATAAAAAGTGCTCATTACAAAAGCGTTCTAACTAACAATCGTGTAAAATTACGACACATATCTAAAAATACAGCTAAAATAAAAAAGCAATTAAAGTAAAAACGAACTGAACAAGGAAATTGGGCAGACAAGGTTTTTTCTTTTTGAGGAATATTCAAAAACTAAATATACCTTGATTAGCCTAATAGTATCGCATGCCGTTTGTTGGCCGAAAATAAACAACACAATGTTGAGCAAATGGGATTCACGCAAACGTGCACATAAAATCCAGTGGTCACGCGATCTCACCATTGCGCACACCATCCCTTACATTATAACTTTACGAAAATATTAATGGATATTTGCAGCAATTTTTGTAATCAACGCTTATATGTAGATACCAATTTATGTATAAAATGTTACGGTTACCTTTGCAACTATCTACTAAATTCTACTACAGGAGAATTGTCACAATGCATATATCTAGTAACGGTATTAACATTTCAAGAAAATGTTTATTACAATTAAAAACATGGATGCAGTTTCATGCGTTTCATACTTCCACCAAGAAATAATGACATGAAATAAAGATGCCTACTACAAATTGGAAACTATTTAAGGTAGTTTGTTCCATATTCTTATTTTTGAAGCGAAACTTCTTTACGCACGGTAGGGTAAGTTCGTTTCATGCGAATTGCTATGTAACGAAATCATGCAACGGATGTCCCCCCTCTACTAGGTCACGTAGTCGAGTTCGTAGTGGGGATCGTATTGAGCCGTTGCAGGCAACTCCGGCTTTTATAGTGTAAAATTTAAATTCATATTGTACAAATAATACCATTAAACCAATTCCTTAACCCCTATCCCGGTATGTTTGTGTGTTTGAAGAAGTTTCACTTCAATAGCGTGTTGTATAATTACACGTTGTATTTTTTTTTATTTTAAAAGAAACTTTTTTGAACTATACAATGGCTGCTTTCGTTATTTCTTGGTTTAAATATAAACTAATACAATACAAACCATCTAGCTTCAATAGAAAAATGTAAATATAGTAGAGATAAATAGAAGGAAGAAATAGAGTATTTTCTCATCCAGAACTAAAAACTCACCAAGGCTTGAGCTGCCTCTTGGTGCTGTAAATAAGGAAGCAAGTTTATTAAAGATATAAGCAAGGTATATTTCAAAAAGAAAAAGAAGATTTAAGAGTATTGCTAATAGAGAAATCCACATTTATTACATAACAGCAAAATCAAAACAGAAACAAGCATTAGAAATAATTTAGATACAAATACAACAATCACATGTACTTATGTATAATTCGGGTCTACAGGCCGTCGTCGGTTGGGGTTTCGCTACCCGAGATAAAAATGTTCAGTCTATCAGAGTCTCTGAAAGCGAGACTCGAGTCTCCGTCTCTCATCGACTCTCTCTGGTGTCGCTCTCTCTGTCAAAAAAACTGTTTAGCGTCTCTGAACGAGAGACTTCAGTCGCTCATAGAAAGATCCTCATTTCGTATCCAGTCTCTGAACGAGAGACTCAAATCTCTGAACGATAGACTTGAATCTCTCAATAAGTGGTGTCTTGATAGACATGGTTAGAAGTTCAATATATTTCAGAGATTCCAGTCATTCTTCGAGAGACTCGAGTCTCTCAATTTTTCAGTTTTATTCATTCAGTCTCTCTGTGAGAGACTGGAATCTTTGAATTAACAATTTTATCTTTCGAGTCTCTCATACAGAGACTGTGAGAGATCCATAAAAACACCTAGGCAATAACTGAAAGACTGTGAAATACTGTGAGAGACGCTCTCAGAGACGCCGAAAGACTCTGAGAGACTGGAGAGAGACTGAAAATTTTTATCTAGGGTAGCAGGAGTGGCGAACTTCTTCAGAGGTCTTTCCATGCTGGATCCAACATCGGAGATGGCCTGTAGACCCGAATCAGGACAGCATTAGTCCACCAAATGATTCTAGCTCGACTAAAGTTTTGTTGTTTTAATTTGGTTTTTACAAAGAAATCAGGAAGAACAATTTTAAAATTAATCTAACGTTTCGGATATTATTTTATACACATTTAACTGCAGCCTTATATTTATATATGTCAGACTGAACTATATTATATAATTATTTCCTGCTAACAGTATCAAAAAAGTAATATTTACATGTAGAGAAAAAGCAAAGTTAAAGAGAGTTCTTAGAAACCCAAGAATATATGTTAAGGGAAGCAGAAATGCATTTGGACGTTGTCGTTTAAAAAACCCTCGAGGCATTTTGGAGGAAGATAAGTCAATAATGGGACCAAAACGGAAATCCGAAAAGACAGAATTGAACTCAAAAGAAATTACATAGGATGTCGCAGAGAACCGATTTTCTAAAATGGCGCACAGGTTTGTTATAACATGCCAAAGAACGACTTCATAACAAAAAATGAGTAATGATAAAATACTTTAACTTCGACATAAACATTAACCTATTAAATATAAATGAAAGAAAACACTGAAGTTGAATCAATGATAACATGGCAATAGCAATATGCGTCAACAAGTATTTCCAAAAAGCTGATTTCAAAACACGATTCAGTCATCAAAAAAATCCATAAAAATTATAAACAAAGTATAAAATTATTACTAATCACTTTTCACCAATCTGTGAATAAATTATATGTTCTTGATGTCACACAAAATTTAGTGTTTTATTTACACCGTATATAAGGGAATTACGTTGTTTAAGCCACTAGTATCTCTGTTAATTAAGAATTGATACTTTGACTAACTAATGTAGCTACAATTTAGTAAGTAGTTGGTTGTATCGTTGCTTGTACTTCCCCTTGTAACAAGAAACGGCGATTAGTTTAATTAAGACTGGTTCACGTTAACCAAGACAGAATTATCTTTAAGTGATGATTTCTAATCTACTAACAAGAAATTGTCTTCCACACCATGTATACCTACATGTACAAACATAACACAACATTTCGCACTTGAGGTGGGGATCAGACAATAAAAAAAGGGGAAAAACTACAAAAACAAAAACTGGTGAAGTTCCTTGTTGCATTATTAATAACATAAAATTTAGCCAATCGAAATAAAATTTGTAGAATATTTAATACATTCCTAATTATATGTAATTAATATTTAGAAACTAAATGTAAAAATTCAAATTGGATAGCACAATTTCAAAATATATGAAGGTAGGTAAGTCAAATTGATCAATTAGAATTTTTATTGGTTTACGAGATAGAAATGAATTTCTCATTGGAAGTTCTGTCATAGTAGGTAGGTAATGTGATTAAATTGAAATGGTGCTTTCAGGAAAGAACTGTTCGAGTATCCGAAATGGTTAAAGTATGTCATTAAAACCTTCCATACGTTAGTTTTATTTATTCACCGGAAAAAGAGTGCGCTCAATTTTCAATTTAAAACGGGAATGAAGCTAAAAATATTTAAACCTGTACCCTTTTTCATTTCTTTACAGGGTGATTAAAAGCATTAATTTCTAACGAGACTATCCGTTCAAACAACATAAAATTAACTAATTACCTACAAAATTGTCATATAGAGCATTCAGATTATATGCGTCGCCTAGGGGTTTAAATAAAAGTACCTACAACAAAAAAACTGGTAAACAAGGGAAGAATATAAGAATAGGAAAGGAAAAATTAGAAAAAGTGGATGATTTTAGGTATCTAGGAAGTCATATAAGTCAGGATGGAAGCAGAGGATAGCACAGGATCGAATCGCCTTCAATAAAAAGAAGTCACTTCTATGCTCGCGAACGATTAATTTAGAAATTCGAAAAAGGTTGTTAAAGGTGTATGTATATGGAGTGCGGCCCTGTACTGGTGCGAAACATGGACAGTGGGCGCAGCGGAAAAGAAAAGGTTAGAAGCGTTCGAAATGAGGTGTTAAAGGCGAATGATGAGTATATCGTAGATAAAGAAGGTTATAAATAAAGAGGTATTAGAAAGAATAGAAAAACAGAGGACTCGAAGGAAGTCAATAAGAAATAAACCAGATAGGTTGGTAGGACACCTTCTCAGACATGAAGGTCTACTCAGAAACATATTAGAGGCAGAAACGAGAGTTAAGAGGGGTAGAGGGAGACATAGATTAGATTACTGTTCGCAAAAAGTTAAGGATGTGGGTAAAAATCAAAATCCAGACCGTTTAGAATCCTAAAACGTATTTCGACTCCAAGGTGCCATCCTCAGCTAAATTAATCATAAATCTAAACTTAATTATATTGGAATCCACGTTAGAAGGGGAGGTGGATTGTTAGGAATGCCTTAGTAAAATTTATGACTAATCATGTTTAGATTTAATATTAATTTAGTCTCTAACCTTAGATGTCGAAAGGCGTTTTACATTTCTAAATGTTTTGTGGAATTTTGGGTTTTAATAAGTGTTTATTTACAAAGTATATCAGTTATATTCCTCTTACCGTAGTACAAATTAAAAACAGTCTTGGCTACGAATCTGTATTCATATATATTAATGTTTCAATCTATAGAAATATGTTGCTCACAATAAAAACTTATTTGGTGCATTAAACCTAAAGATACTCAACGTAAGAGACAGGGAGATTTTGCGAGTCAACCAAGAGGATTATGCTTTTCATTTTTATGTTATCCGAAGCGAAGAACGTACGTATTCAAAACGGTTCTTTAAGAGATAACGAGAGAATGTACCTACAGATAGATATAAAGAAAAATGTCATCCTTGAAGCCGTGTTTGCTTGGTTAACAATCCCATCCTGAATAATATATCTAAGAAGCACGAACTACCGCCGTTTTAGTTTGAGTACTTCTTTTGAAAATAATTTAAAACATTCAAATTGTTGAATCTATGTATAAGTTTTCAGGAATAGTAACAAAAATTCGACAAAACAATACAGACCTATCTCTCCTGCTTCAAATATTGCGATAATTTTGAAAAAATAATAGCTAAACGTATCTGGCACTTCCTCGATAAGGATGACATTATTGCAAGCAATCGATACAGTTTCAGGTCTAACCATAGTACCAACGATGCCTTCGTACACATTATATCGGGTTGTTCGGAAAGTCATTTCGTTTTTTTTTTGTGGAAATGAAAGACAGTTTTCGTATAATAAACAAATACTTTATTAAATTATATATTGACCGTTCTGGTCCAACACCTTTTGCCATCTTTCTGGTAGTAGCATTATTCCACGCTCATAAAATTTTTGGTCTCTGCTGGAAAAAAACTGATCGAGGAGGTTTTTGACATCCACATTTGAGGTGAAGGTTTTACCGTCTAAAAAATTTTGGAGTGACCGGAACAAACAATAATCCGATGGTGCCAGGTCTGGAGAATATGGTGGGTGTAGCATTGTATCCCATTCAAGCTGTAAAAGCTTTTGGCGAGTGACCAAACTTGTGTGAGGTCTCGCGTTGTCTTGGTGAAACACTACACCTTTCCTGTTGATTAGTTCTGACCTTTTCTGTTGAAGTGCATCATTCAGTTTGTCCAGCTGATGACAGTAGACTTCCGAATTAATCGTTGTGTTATCCGGTAAAAGCTCAAAAAAAACGATTCCTTTAAAATCTCACCAAACAGCATCACCTTTTTTTGGTGAATATCGGCTTTGGAAATGGTTTGAGCCGGTTCATCTTTTTTGCTCCATGACCTCTTGCGTTTGACGTTGTTGTATACAACCCATTTTTCGTCCCCAGTGATGATGCGTTTCAAAAACGGATCATTTTCGTGACGTTTGAGAAGCGAATCGCAGACGTCAATGCGGCGACACAGATTTCTCTCTGTGAGAACATGGGGAACCCATACATCGAGCTTCGAGGATAATCCCAGGTCTTTCAAGTGGTCATAAACTGTTGAATTTGATAAATTTAACCTTAATCCGATCTCACGTGTTGTTATTCGCCGGTTCACATCAACTAATGCCTTTATCGCGTCTTTATCAGCTTCAACCGGTCTTGCCGAACGTGGTGCATCTTCGACATCAAAATTGCCGGATCGAAATTTAGCGAACCAGTTCTGGCACTGGCGTACTGTCAACACACCTTCTCCATACACATCAGTCAATTTCTTTCTGGCTTGAACAGCATTTTTACCCTTTCTGTAGTAAAACAGTAAGATATGTCGAAAATGCTGCTT